TAATTTACAACTAAGAAGTAAATATAAATATTGGGAATTATTTGAGATTTCAATTTGAGAAGGGAATAAGTATTTGTGGAATTTTATTTCATAAGTATTTAATTTACAATTAAAAGGGATAAATAATCTTTGAATTTCATTCATGAATATTCATTTTTGTGTTTACAAGAAGTGTCATTTACACTGAACATCTACTCTAAAAAAGGCCCTAAAGAATCCTAAGTGTTCTTCATGATGCTCCCTCGATCTTCTCCGCAAATCTTCGATCAACCTGCACAACCAGAAACAAAACAGAAGCAGGAAAGGGTTAGAAGTTGTCTTCGACACTCTCAGAACAGCGTCATCACTGAGTGCCGGGAGTGGCACAACCGGAGCTGCGTCCTACCCCCGTTACAGATCCGCGCCATTAGCGTCAGATCAGGTAACATCTGTTCTTATCTACGGGACAGCCGAGAAAGATGAAGAGTAAAAGAAATGGGGATTGAACTGATTTGCCAAAAGGATTCACGAATTCGAGACTAAAACACCATTCCATCAAGTAAACAGGTGGACTATCAAGTAAATTTCAGTTTGTTTCCACTGATACAAAGCTGATCGGCAAGGCCGGTACGAGTTCAGACCTAGATGCCAATAGGTATGAACCGTCTTTCGAATTTTTCCGATACCTGAAACACAAGAGCCAAACAACATCAGCAGTGCCAATTCCACAACAGAGTTTAAGGCCAAAACAGTTCAGTTGCACAAAGAAGGGAGAAGCCAAAGCCAAGTCGAATAAATTTGAAGAAGAACCAAGTCAAACAAATCTGTCACCCGAAGTTCAGCAACAATGTCAGGGTGTATCAGTAGGAACAAATCCAATCCATGGAGCAGTTTCAACTCCACAAGAAAAGAGCTAAAGCTCAAGTCACAAAAGCCACGACTCAATCAATCAAAAAAAAAACAATAACCAGAAAGAATCAGCAAAGGAAAATATGCATCAGCTCAAAAGAGAAAGATGTTTCACCAACACAAGGTCATACCAGAAGAAAACAGGGTGAATGCAGGTCATACCAGTCACAACAACATCCAACCAAATTTGAGGTTCACATGAAAAATCGAACATGGCAATAAGGGCTCAGTTCATACGTCATAGCCCTAAACAAACAGTCCTATCAGTCGAAACCAGAAGCAACCGTCGCATCATAATCGAAGGCGGCAAGCAGCAGTATCAATTCCCTGGTCGGTTCAGACTAGAATGTCATCATCACCGCATCGTACCTCTCTCGGCGGCACCAATCCGGCAATATCTGAACTACCAGCTCTCTCTGAAAGAAGAAGAGGAAAAGTTAATCCAAACTGCATCAGGAAAAGAATCCATATCAGCAAAAAAACCAATATCCAGATTGTATTAGGAAAAGATCAATCCGTATCAGCTGGAAATCAGGAATCCGAATCTTATCAGAAAAATGAAAACAGAATAAGTATCGGAAAGAATCCAATCCGTATCAGAAAGCATATCCAATTTCAAATCCAAACTGTATCAGAATGAATCCAATCAGTATCTGAAAAGCAAACCAAACAAATCCAGTATTAGAAACAATATCCAAATAAAATCAAATCAGACAAAATCAAATCATATCAAAAATCCCAATCAATACGAAATTATATCTCAGGGGAAAGTAACGTAATCCAAAGTGATCAAAGCCCAAAAAAAAAGGGATCAGAGAAGGGTATAAAGGAACAAGTCCACCTCTTTGAAACCCTAACGGCCGAAAAATCACTGAGCGAAGAAACCCTAGAGGGGACGGAGGCGCGAGCAAGAGGAGAGTACAAAGAGGCCACTAAATACAAAAGCCCAAAGGGACGAACCCTAACAAATGGACGAAGATCGATCGTGAATCATCAACATCAGATCGCCGATTTCTCCTTATCCGAGAGAAGCAAAAGGCGTCATAAAGATCATTGTCACCGTCTCCCCACAAAGAACAGAGCAAACAAATCTACTCAGGGATTCAGGAACTCCTCCGAGTCCATCATCATCATCCCTATTCTTTAACGGACAATATTGCCATCATCGAAGCCACAAGCTTCGGTTGCGATATCGCTGGCCATAAGTCATCGCGGATCAAATGTAAACCCTCGCCTTGACTCATCCCTTTCATTTTTTCGTGTGTTAACAGGTGAAAAATAAGCTAGGTCATGGGGAAAAGAGGAATCGAACACAAGGATTGGAGGAGAGAGATCGAAGATGGAAAGGAAACGAAGAGAGACGGAACAAGAGCGAGAGAAGGGTAAACGGCGCCGCGAAGGGATAACAGGGTTCTGAAACCCTAAGTTTGCGATTTGGTTTTTGTGTTACTCACCAACCGGGTTGGGTCCGGAGGTGATTACCGGCCTAACCCCTCTTATTTTTGTTTTTTTAAATTTGTTTTTTAAAAACCCTTTTTCTTTTTTTATATATTTAGTTAATTTAAATTTTAAGTATTAAAATTATTTTTTGCCATATAATAAAATAAAAGAAAAACTTTTTTTATAATAAAATTAAAAAACCTTTTTTAAATAAAATAACTTAAAATCCTTTTAAAAATATATAAAACTTTTTTAAGATTAAGATTAAAATATTTTTAAAATGTAACATCACTCTTTCTTTTGTAAATTCAATAAAAATCTTTTTTTTCAAAACAACAAAAATCTCCAATATCGCACTCTTGTCTCATGACCCGTCCCATTACCGTCTAACTTTGCTTATTAACGGTGTTCATCATTTGCAGCTCATGTTTACTACTATTGCGTGGTTGGTTTATGTAAATTTCATTATTATTGTAATTGCTTCTCGGTTGTAACCTCGCGAATCCTAATAATCGCGCTTTAATTCCCGCCTTTAAATTTCTGCTTGCATGGTCAAATTAGGACTTTATTCTCTGTTTGCATAATTCAATTATTTCACACATTTATCAATACTCCTGTCACATTACACACGTCCGAAGGTTAGGTCTAGCTTTTGGTCGCCGTGTCAATAGTCCTCAACTTCAAACCCTTACAACCTCACAAACCCTAATTTTCACAAATGCTTCGCCGCAGGCAAGATTACAATTTTACCCCTAGCATTAGGTCAAAGAGCCGCCGCGCTCATTTTAGGGTTTCCCGCCGTGGAATCCCTAATTTAACCCTAATTCAATTTAACAATTCATAACGTAGAGATCGGAGTTTAGGACTCCATGTAAACGTGTCCTTAAGATGCGTTTATTCCCCTTGAGACCTTGACCACAGTCAAGAAGTCTCTAACCTCCCTTCTGAGGGGAACTACGATTACTCTGATTCCACTCCCGTAAGGATACGTAGGCACAAGATGCGATGTCTTGCCGAGTAAATTTAGAATTAACCCCTTAGGTCTCTTTTCTCACTTTTAATCCTTTGTACATATACCTTAAGCAAATAAATAAAGCAAAAATAGTAAACATCTGAGCAAAAGGTTCCTGTAGAGTACTACAGAAGTTTAGGGTGCTAATACCTTCCCTAAATTTAACCAACCCCCGAACCCTAGATCTTTCCCCGCATTGTGTTTACGATGTAAAATAGGTTTTCCCTCTTTTGACCTTTTCCTTCGGATAAATCAAAGAGCGTTTGTGAATTGAATTGCGATTCAAACTCAATAATAGTTTGTGATCCTATTTCCACCGCAACACATAGTAAAGGGGATTTGTGTAAGGTTGGAGAATGTGTAAACCAAGTGATTCAAAATCAGTATAACGAGATATAAACATCATTTGGGTGTAACATCACAATGTTAGAACAAAAATTCAAAGCAAAAAAATGTATTCTATCAGTTTGCAGTATATATCGAGCGAGATTGAACTTTATCTATAATGAGGTCGTGTGAGCAGAGAAAATAGGTTCATATACCACCAACTGTGGTTTCACACTTAGAAGAACATATGGTCTTCTATATGGTCGTTTAATTTCCAAGAATAAGAAACTTGATAGACCCATAAGTATGGATGAGGTTTAAATGAACTGAAAAAGGCTCTAGTTTAATGATGATAGTGTTGTCAAAGAGAGCAAATCATATATATTTATTGTGATAGAACGGGAGGTGATTCAAGAAATATTTTTTAAAGCTAATTATAACATGAAATTACACATAAACGAGCAGCTACAGAAGATAGTCTATCTAGAAACCATTTATATAAACCCCTCGCGGAACCGATAAAAATAAAGGTAGCTCCTAAAAAGATCAAACCATCACGGAATGACAAGTCAACCAAACGGTCCACATCATATTTCAAGAATGTCTCCTGATCGGATGTAAACAAACTAACTGCAAGTGCACAGCCAATCGTGTAGTTTTAAAAGATGTCGATCCCATAGAGACTAAAAGTCAAAATCTATCGTTATTGATTGATATGGTGTTTATTTAAGGCGAACAATAAAGGGATGATTGAAGAAATAAAACTGCGTTAAAATAAGGTGTATTAAAAACATTAGGCTGACAGTGTAGAGATGTGGGACCTACTAATTATTGTACTCTCGTTGTTTCTAGAAGAGATTCTTCAATAGGGCAACGTTTCCTATTTCGAAAAGGACTAATTTAACGGGAATTGTTGCTTTCGCAACCAGAACCGAATTTATTCTCCAATTTATACTCTTCCATCGTCACTCATGGTGGGCGCGTATTGCGTTAAAGTAATAAACCCATTTTTAAGAAATCAAACTCTTTACAAAATAGAAAAGTGATTTTTGATTGAAAAGCATAATTTAAGTGCGTGAGAGTGGGCACAATGAAAATGAACAACAGATTTATTACTAACTGTTCCTCGTTCAATACTATTTTTTAATCATATTTGTATAAAACTTAATAATAATAAACTCAAATAACATAAGCATGCTAAATATATGATTTCAAATTAGATAAATATTAAATATTTATAAATCCAAAATAAATGTTAGATAAACTCACTTATACACCAAGAAAGGTTAGAGAATTGATATTGATGATGAACAATCAAATCAATAAAATGAGCATGAATATTGATCAAGAGAATCCTCACAAATCTATTTTTAGAAGGTTTTTCGAGCGGGCAGCAGAGTGTTTTGAATACAAAGATAAAGGAGAATGGATAAAACATATGAAAAGTAGCGTGGGTATAGCAGTTTCTATAATCGCAACTGTAACATTTTCACTCGCCACCAATCCACCCGGTGGTGTCGTGGAAGTTAGTCTCAATGATGGATCCTTTTGCTCGAATACGACCGGAGTTTATATATGTGCTGGAGAAGCTATCTTAGCTACGTTATATAAAGAATATTATATTGGATTTTTGGTATGCAATACAATTTGTTTCATTGCAGCACTTAGTGTTCTTCTCTTGCTTGTTAGTGGAATTCCTATTGAAAAAACATTTCTAATATGGCTTTTGTCTTTTGGAATGTGTCTCACACTCACAAGTCTTGCTCTTACCTACTTGTTTGCTGTTTTTTTGGTCACACCAGACGTCATTTGGAATTCTCCTATAAAAAATGGGTTTGGAATTGTTATTGTTGTTTAGGCTTCGCTTGTTGCACTTCTTGCTGCTTTTTTCATTCTTCGCTTTATTGTGAGAAGCGTCTATAAATTTCGCAACACTGAGAAATAGATTATTTGTGGTATAGTTAATTATGTAGTTGTATTTGTTGTAATTTGAATTGTATACTTGGTTGAATAAATAGAATTGTATTATGTCATTGTTTGGTGGAATAAATTACAGAAGCTTTCTTGTTTTTACTTCATACTTCTTTTTAATATTGACTTCAGGATTACTTCCGGCTAAGTAACAGTGTTCATCTTCATTACTTCCGGCCGTTGTAGACTTCTCCACACACACACACACATAGAGAGAAATATAAATATATATATATAAAAAGAGAGAAATATAAAATTCTAAAAACTGGCATCAAGTACAATGAATACCAAAACACAAAAAGAAAAGTATTAAATATAAAGAAAAAAACAACCACCTTGACAAAAACAACAACGGCTAAGAGAATTCCACATCCTCAAGTACAAAACAAATAGAAACCAGGAACAAAACTAGAATTCTACTAATAAGAAATAGGAAGTCGAGTAACTGACTCCACCAAAGCACCAAGGACACCCCAAAAGGGAAGGCGTTCATCTCTCAAGTTGATATTGACTCATATACGTTATTGGATTCTCAAGTCAGGTCGAGAAAGTACATGAGCTACTCACGGACCTACTAAAATATCATTTCCAAGTCAATATAATGCTCAAGTCTTCAACGTCCTTCGAATTCATCCGATTTTTCTAAGAACACTATATCATTCAGAGATTTTCAAATCGGACAAATGATAACATGACAAATCAAAAAATATCCCCCTGTAATCCTAGGAAGACTACTAGTAGGGAAAAACATCTAAAAAAGGGTCAGGACATCTCTATGTAAGACCATAACCTACCCTAACCATCTAAAGATCCTATGCCAAATTGAAATCGCCACGTCACAAGTAAAAAAGAGATGAGAGGATGATTCGGTGACCACCGAGCAGAAAAAACAAAGAAAATCCCCGACCAAAATAGATCCCCCTCTTAAGAAGGTTCACTCTAGTAGAAATCAGGTCCTGAAAGAGCTACCAAGAAAAAAAACATTCCTTTGAAGGGTGCCTAACTACTTTAAGCACAGGGCAGAACATTCACAATAGAGGATGTCAGGTATCTCTAGGAAGCTCCTATGAAAGGAGAAAGGTGTAGGCAGAAGACACAGAAAAATCACTATTTTTGGAATGGCGCCACAACCACATGTCTTGCTACTCAGATGGATGAAAACCAATAATAAACAAGGGGAGTTCGACAATCATAATATGATCATGCTAAAAAATACGAGTTCTTTTCCACTTAAGATCTCAATCCCAAGACTGGCCATTCTAATTACCAACCTCCCCCCAAAAAAAAGTCTTTTGATAAGAGATAAAAAAGAGTCTAGGTGTTGCGGTGGAAATAGGATCACAAACTATTAATGAGTTTGAATCGCAATTCAATTCACAACCGCTCTTTGATTTATCCGAAGGAAAAGGTCAAAAGAGGGAAAACCTATTTTGCATCGTAAACACAATGCGGGGAAAGATCTAGGGTTCGGGGGTTGGTTAAATTTAGGGAAGGTATTAGCACCCTAAACTTCTGTAGTACTCTACAGGAACCTTTTGTTCAGATGTTTACTATTTGCTTTATTTATTTGCTTAAGGTATATGTACAAAGGGATTAAAAGTGAGAAAGGAGACCTAAGGGGTTAATTCTAAGTTTACTCGGCAAGACATCACATCTTGTGCCTACGTATACTTACGGGAGTGGAATCAGAGTAATCGTAGTTCCCCTCAAAAGGGAGGTTAGAGACTTCTTGACTGTGGTCAAGGTCTCAAGGGGAATAAACGCATCTTAAGGACACGCTTACGCGGAGTGTAGAAACTCCAAATCTCTACGTTGAATTGTTAAGTTGTAATTAGGGTTAAATTAGGTTAGGGATTCCGCGGCGGGAAACCCTAAAATGAGCGCGGCGGCTCTTTGACCTAATGCTAGGGGTAAAATTGTAATCTTGCCTGCAGCGAGGCATTTGTGAAAAATTAGGGTTTGTAGTTGTAAGGGTTGAAGGTGAGGACTATTGACACGGCGGCCAAATGCTAGACCTAATTCCTTCGGAGTGTGTAAGGTGACAGAAATATTGCAATACATCAGCAGAAATTTAAATCATGCAGAAATTTAAATGCGAAAAGTAAACGCGATTATTAGGTTCGCGAGGTTACAATTGAGATACAGATACAAGTATAAAGGAAACTTAAATGAAAATCAACACAATAGTAATAAATATGAACTGCAAACAATGAACACCCGTTAGTAGGCAGAGTTAGGCAGCAATGAGTTATGAGAAGATGTAAATTGAGACTTTACTATTGTTTTATTTAAAGAATTTAATGATTTAATGTTAGCTTACAAGAGAAGTTTTTTAAAAAAGGGTTTTATTTTTATATTTTTAAAAAAAGTTTTCCTTATTTTATTTAAAAAAGTTTTTTTATTTTTATATTTACAAAAGTTTTAATTTTATATAAAAAAAAGTTTTAATTTAAAAAAAAAGGTTTTTTATTATATTATAAAAGATTTTTATTTATATATACTATCTTCCCAAAAAAAAAGTTTTTAAAACACTTTAAAATAAATAAAAAAACATAATTTTTAAAATAACAAAATAAATAAAAAATAAAATAAAAAACATAAGGGGTTGGGCCGGTCATCACCCCGGACCCAACCCGGTTAGTGGCTTAATTGAGAAACGATTAGGGTTCTGGGAACCCTAATACTGCTTACGGCGCCGTTCACACATTCATCTTCTCTCATCTCTCTCGCTTCTCTTCACCGTTTCTCTTGCTTCTCTTCACCGTCTCTCTTGCTTCTCCTCGCCGTCTTTCTTGCTTCTCCTCGCCATAATATCCCTCGTTCTTCATTTTTCTGCAACAAAAATAAACATGCAAGATGATTTATGAAGAGGTGGATGATTTACGTTTTGTTCTTGCGCGCGATTAGCGGCCAATGATGAAGAAATTCTGAGGCTGGATGGTTTGATTGCCCGCTGTTTGAACGGCGAAGGTGATCTTCCTTTGTTCGGTGGCGCGGTTGTTGATGTTGGTTCGTCGGAGACGATGATGAGGGTGTCGGTCCCTCTGAGTCTCGCGATTCTCGTTCGTTAGGGTTTCTGCGCTTTGGGTGTTCTCCGTTCTCTCTCTCGCGGTTACCAGCTAGGGTTTGTACGCGATTCCTCCTCTTTTCATCAGGTTGTATCTCCCCTTTTATATACGCTTTGATTTATTTTTTGGGCTTTCAATCTGTATTGTATTTGCATTACTCTGAGATTTGATTTCGTGTTGATGCGATTTGATTTTGATTTTGATTTTTCAGATGTTGATTGAACCCTGTTCCCTCTTTTAAAACCTGATTGGGATTTTGGTGAGATTGAATTTCATTTTTCTGGTATGAATCTGATACTGATTCATTTGATTGATTCAAATTGAGTTCCACTGGGGATGTTTCCTGATACGATTTGGATCCATCTGATACATGATTGAATCCTGTTTCCCCTTTTAGGATTTGATTGGTCTTTCTGATTTCCAGCTGATTCTTCTGACCCTATTTGATTTAATAACCTGAACTGATTTGTTTTGATCTGTTTTGGGATTGATATCAAATCAAAATCTCTATTATTTTTCTGATATGGTTTGCCTTCAGATTGGATTGATTGGTATCTGATTTTGATTCACATAACTCCTTGATGGATTCGTATCTCTGTTTGATATTATCGATCTCGAACTGATTTGTTTTTTGATTGGTTTGTTTCTTTGATGCAACTCAGATTCTTTTCCTCTTCTTCTTTCAGAGAGGGCTTGATGTTGCGTTGGTCTTTGCCGCCGAGACGGGTACATGGTAGTGATGACGCTTAGTCTGAACCATTTGGAGCAGGGTGCTACAATCCTGGTTTTTGCTTATGTTGTTGCTTCTGATTGAATTGGTGATGATGACCTGTTTCAACTTTTAATCTTCAGGTCCCCAACTTTCTGTTTTAGGGCAATGATGTTGAACTGAGCCCTTCAGAGAAGATTCTATGATCTTGTTTGTTGCTCGTGTTGTGAGCAGAATGGCACGTTGGTTTGTCACGATGACTTGCCATCGTTAATTGCTTTTTCTGGTATGACCAAGTTTGATGCTGTCGTGCTTCTTTGGATTCTGCTGAGTACTTTTTCTGTCACGACAGATTTGTAGGATGCTTTATTATGGCCCTTTGCGCATGAACTTGCATTTTGATGCATTGTTTGATGGTTTGTGATTTCTGTCCTGTTTAGAACTGATGCAGCTTGATGCCATAGTTTGGTTTCTCTTGTTCTGCTTTGGACTTGATTTTCATTCTGTTTGGACCATTGGCCTTCATTCTGCCTTGGACATTGGCTTTCATTCTGTTTGGTAACAGATTTGTTTCTTTGGTGGCTTTTCATACTTGTATGGGCACGAGTTCCTTCTTACCTAGTTTTGTTTATGCTTTGAGTTCTGTTGTACTGATGACGCATGTGGCTTTTCAGGTGTTGGAAGTTTCGAAACCAAAGTGACTCAGACCTGCCGGCATCCGGGTCTGAGTCAGAACTTGCCTATGTTGCCTTATTCTCGTATCAGTTTGGAAATCCAATCGCGGCAAAACGAATCAGTCCCGCTTCTTTTATTACTTCTATCTCTCGGATGTCCCGTATCGATAAGAACAGGTATTACCTGATCTGACGCCCACGGCGCGGATCGGTAACGGGGGTAGGACGCAGCTTCGGTTGTGCCACTTGTAACACCCCCTTTCTATAGCCCAAATAAATTAGATAAATCAATTAGGCACATAGAAAATTTATTTCATCAGAGTTTGATTAAAACATGGTATAAAAGAGGCGCATCACATTATCATGAAATTACACACATACGATACCTGCTCAAAATAGATATGCAACAATGGGTAACCCACATCTCAATATTTAG